ATATATATATATATATATATATATATTTCTTCTGGCTGCCATAGTTGTGATGTCTTTCTTGCGACCATGAGGGACTTAACCATGAGGGGCTGTTGCTTACTCTAGTTTTATGAGAATCTTGGGACATAACCACGCTACTGTGAGGCACAAGGGACTCACTACCAAGCTATAACCACTCATGTGCTCCTCTACCATGATGCTCGTATTCCTCGGGACAGGAAGCCTGTTAATGCTTAAAGAAGTCCTCTTAGCCAAAAGGTGAGTCTTTCAGCATGATCATCCATCCAATTACTGACCAGACCAAACGGTGCTTAACCTGACTGTCCAGGAGACGTGCTCATCATCCACTGTGCTACGCCACACTCTACCTCCACCATAATACGAAAGGTCTCTCTCACCACCATGACGCGGTGGAGTGACTTACCATGTGTTCCTCAAGCTGACCAAGATCATTCTCACTTCTCAAAACCTACTCAAGCGACCCAATTCATTCACCAGGAAATGCAAATGAAGGCCATGTGCGGGCTCGAGCCGGCACTATACACACGCGTCCGCACATGAACTGAGAGAGACGGTGAGCAACCAAGCAGTACTGGAAGAATTTGTGACTACCAGAGATGAGGTAAGGAGGCGCCCGCTGGAACTGGTCACGGCTGTTGGACCAGGCAAGATCCCATCCTGGAGGCTGTAAGAGACGGGAGGGGAGGAAGCTGAAGCCTTGTGCTAGCCGCTTACTATGACATCGTAGCAACCCACTGGAAATAAGAGAACTACCGGTAGGTTGGAAGACAGCAACTATAGTGCTGGTATTTAAAAGGGAGACAACAGTAGGTGCTAAACTACGGAGCAAGTGTCCTTTACCTTCATTCTATGAAAGACGATGGTCAAAACACCTTAAGAAAGGAGCTATTGAAACATTATGAGAGAAGAGCAACACCACCTTGGGTTCTGGGACGACATAGCTTGCTTTATACACTTGATGGAACTCTATGACCAAGCGACAGAGCTCACACAAGACAACAAGTGTTGACAGACAGCATATTTTAGAACTGCCAGAAAGTCTTCGACACAGTACCTCACAGGGAACCAGTACACATATTTCTACAGGGGCCTATACTAAGACCTCTGTTATTCCTGATCTTTGCAAACGAGCTCCGAGAAGGAATAGACTCCGTCCTCTCATTATTTGTCGGTGACGCAGCAGTTGTAAGGATAGATATGGTTGGGAAGTGAAGAAAGCCTCAGTGTGCCCCGGGAAATGCAGTTCACTTCACTCAATCACTCTCGCGCTCTCGATCAATAATCTATACACCAGTTGATTGACAGTTGAGAAGCGGGACCAAAGAGCCGAAGCTCAACACCCGCAAGCACAACTAGATGAGTATTTTCTTACTCTCACTCACTTTCTTACTCAAGCACTCACTCTATCACATGCCAACTCCCTTCCTACTGGTGACTAGGAAAACCTTTACAAACCCCCGTCGCTTGAGTCCATCTTGAGGGCGTTGCAACACTTTCATGAGACCTTAACACACACAGATCTCACCTCTAATGCTACCCTCGGGGTGGAAGTGTGTGGCGAGGTGGAGACTAGTGTTCTTCCCAGCGACCCTCCCGAGCCCCACCCCTCTCACGGTGGGGTGAGAGCCTCACTGTAGAGAACCTCTCTACAGCCTCGCCACAACCTACTTCTCCCGCGCTACTTCAAAACAAGTGAGGTACCTGTGAGTACCCCGTAATCTGCGGCACCTCGTGCGCTCACTACGTGCGGAAGTGCGACAGTGGGGGCGCGACCATTCTCACAGGGCGTGGTTCGAGCTTGTACTTATCTGCATGGAACTGTGTCAAGAAGCATATAAAAAAAAAACCGTACAGCATCCCACAATACAGCAGCATAACGTCACTCATCTCCTGCGTCATGGCGTTCCGCTCCTCTAGAGACTGTGGACTCAGCCTGGAATTGCTACATCTCCAGTTATTGACATTATAATTATAATCAAACAGTATATAATTCGTGTGTGTGTGTGTGTGTGTGTGTGTGTGTGTGTGTGTGTGTGTGTGTGTGTGTGTGTGTGTGTGTGTGTGTGTGTGTGTGTATACTCACCTATTTGTGCTTGCAGGATCGAGCATTGACTCTTGGATCCCGCCTCTCTAGCCATCGGTTGTTTACAGCAATGTCCCATTTCCCTATCATATCTAGTTTTAAAATTATGAAAAGAATTTGCTTCCACAACCTGTTCCTTAAGTGCATTCCATTTTTGCTGACCGTTGCATCACTCAGGAAAATGTCATGGTTGATAACGTATGGTTGTATAACGTATGTTTGTATAACGTATGGTTGTATAATGTATGGTTGTATAACGTATGGTTGTATAACGTATGGTTGTATAACGTATGGTTGTATTACACGATATATCACGCCAGCATGAGGCTCCTCAAATACTACTAAAATCACCTACCCTTAATGTCTAATGTTTAATTGTAAATACATAGCTATTTAAATGCAACAATTTCTGTTGCTAGCTGACATTATAATTATAAGGTGAGCAGGGTAGATTGTGAATGCAATAATCTCCGTTGAAGTCTGATAAAAAAAAGACTTTTGTGCCCCCTCTAATGTGAGCGCAACCCCTCCTCTTAAAAATAATGTCACTTTTCGCTCGTATGCGCGCTATGGCCAAATTTGGATGTAATTTGAAATGAAATCGACTCACAAAAGTGACGTACTGTTCCATTTTCTGTTTGAGTCGTCCGGCTTCGGACGAGTATGGGGTGCACAATAAAATAGTCTCCCCCGGCGGCAACAATCAAATCAACGAGGCTACTTATGTTCTCCCTGGAGTAGTGGTCTGTGTATACACCTCAGCCCCTCAAGTGCTCTTGCTAAGAAATATATAAATTCTTTACCGTTTTATAGGAAGAACATATAACCTTATGAGATCGTTTCAATTCCATACGTCGTGCTTTTCGGAATGGAGGCGGGAGACATCTTATACGTCTCTCTCTCTCAGCAGTAAATGTGACACTATGCCTTTACCCGCGATCGCAAGCAACCTCTCCGTTGGAAGATCTATCGTAATTACGCCTTACTCGTTTACGCGATATTCCTACGCATTTGTGCGTGTACTTATCCACGTAATTAATTAAATCCCTAATACGCTCGAATTATACACATATGGCAACCCATCTTTCTGTTTATATAGTACTTTTTGTAACTATGTGCAAGGATCAATAGTATAGGTCTCGTGCTCTTCCCAGGATTGTTATTACCATAGTTGGTAAACATGACTTTGTAGATCGATTGGCCAATGAGGCTTGCAGGAAAGAAAACATTGATTATGACTTTGGACTATCTAATGCTATTATTAGAAAAATACAAATTAAAGAAATTAATTCAGATTTAGAAGAACTAAGAAATGCCCAGAAACCTGAAAGCTGCAGTATTAAAAGCTATGACAACTTTTGTAATAATAAGTACAGTAACCGAACCAGGCAATGTGATGTAGTCATTGCGCGAATTCGCCGTGGCTATAGACACATCTGGCAGGTTAGTGAGGCTGAGCCACTACCAGAATACTCAGAGTGTAAACTCTGTGATAAACCTTTAATACATTTACTAGAACACTATATTGTTGAATGTGAAACCGTAAAAGACTTTAGACCTCCTGGCCTTTTGTACCACCAACTGTGTAACTATTTCTTTGACTCAGGTGTTCTGGACGACATCCTAACAATTTATCCAAAATTTGCTTGTCCATATTAAAGAATGAAGAACAATTTTATTTATATTACTTCTAAGCTGCATCACTTGTGAACCCATCCCTGTCTTTGTGTGGCAATGTACAATAAAAAGTTGTTTTCACATATTCATACATTAAAACATTGATTGTAACCATGATATATATGTGCTTCAGCCTACAGTTTAGACTTATTGTCTTGTGTATGACCCTCTGTCCTGTGTGACAGTGAATACCAGCATTATCCTTACTTTAATAAGAATTAATTGAAATCCTCAGATTAGGCAAAATTGTAATTAATTTTGTTAATAAAGATGTTAATAATAATAATTACCATAGTGTTCCACAAGGATCAATAGTATAGGTCTCGTATTCTTCCTGGGATTGTAATATTTGGAGCATCGATGAAATAGATACAGTAAGTACAGGTTGAGGGGCAGCGTAACAAGAGGTCATGCATGGCAGCTAGACACGCAGATGAGCCACAGAGATGTGAGGAAACATTCAGTGTAATGCCAGTAAGCAATTGGGACAAACTAGATATGGCAAGAAACATTGAATAAGACGACTAATAGTTAGAAGGGCGAAGCTCTATCCTACAATTGTTTTTCCTAAGAACCAATAGAGGCTCCAGATCCTGTATTTCCGAGTCCCCGCCCATCGTCTCCACTATTCTCACACTGGATACTTGTGCAAATTGCATGGATTCATCTTCAATTGAACATTCATATGAATCTTACGAAATTTCGTAACCTACTGTGATTATGCCCTTCAACCGAGTTATATATTTTGTATAACAATGTATAATTATATAGGCTATATATATAACTATATAGGCTGTTGCACAGTACATTACACGTTGTACTGAACGGGGTGAGAATAGCTTGAGCTACCTCATCCCTTTGTGTGTATTTTACCTCAATAAACTTATTTCAATTTCAATTTCAATGTATAATTCCTACTCAGATATCTCCCGAAGTTTAAGAAAATATGGAAAATATAAAATATATCCCTAACGTAAAAATAAAAATGCATTTAGTTAGACGACGAACCCTCCCCCCCCCCAAAAAAAAAAAAGACGTTCTGGCATACGCTTCACACGAGAGTGAAAGTAAACTATATAAAGGGCTGGAGACTGGCCTTAGTCATTACTTCATCCCTCGATCCCCTCCTGGTAGGACGTCTCTCGACCATCCTCGTCCTGCTCTTCTTCGCTAACATCTCTGTATGGTTTAATTGCGACATATATAAGATCGCGTGACCATGCTGCTAATGAAAATGGTATGTTATGTGGGTATATGTTTGCGGTGTTCGTGTGCAAGTAATTAATAATCTTCCTCTGCTTATCGATGTAACTCATTTTCTCTCTTCATAGCTCCTAATTTTTTTTTTACAGTTATTTAAATGATTTTTACAAGCTTTTTCAGTGTCTTCCTCCGTCTCTGTTGAGGATATAACTGCCTTGATATAACATCCTGTCATTAAAATAACAGACTAGAGTCAGCAGTCACTTTGTATATAGTTTCTATCTATACTACTACGGGTCCATGGGAGACATCTCCCATCCACGAGGTCAATATAGCCCGTGCTTCTTGCCCCGCTCCTGTGCCAGGTAAGTTACGGGCTCACCATACCCCGTGCTACTGGAACTTATTGTTCTGAGTAGCGAATCTTAAACAACAATATGCTTCAGGTCACTACGGGCTCACCATAGCCCGTGCTACTTGGAACTTTTTGTTCCAGGTAGCGAATCTTTAACAACAACAACATACTACGGGCTCACCATAGCCTGTGCTACTTGGAAATTTTATTCTGAATAGCTGAATCTTAAACAACATGGAAACTCCACAGGACTATGTACAGAAAGGGGCCTGACAGCTGAGTTCACAGCGCTTCGTATTCGTAGTCCTGAGGTTTCGGATTCAATTCCCGGTGGAGGCAGAAACAAATGTGAAGTTTCTTTCACCCTGATGCCTCTGTTCACCTAGCAGTAAATGGGTACCTGGGAGTTAGACAGCTGCTACGGGCTGCTTCCCGGTGTATGTGGAAAAAAGTTCATTGATTGACAGTTGAGAGGCGGGCCGGAAGAGCCAGAGCTCACCCCCCCCCGCAAGCACAACTAGGTGAATACAGAAAGATGTACTCTGCTTGCTTTAGTCCCGGATAATGTTCAAGACCAAAGTCTACTTTGTGGTTGGTCAGTAAGCTATTGTGGTGACCTTGTGTGGTTAATATGCAGAGGTTGGTACGCCTTTATCCCGAGGTTGGTACGCCTTAAGCCCACCAACAAACAATAGGCTCTGCTACTTCTTACTTGGAACGTTTGTTTCTGTTGCATTCTTAATCAATTATCTTTAAAATCACGTGTTAGCATGTCTCATGTCTTCCTTCGTTCCTCGTGTAGTGAGAGCCCAGTCCGTCCTTGTAGCTCTGTCCTCTCAGCTCTGGTAAATGTCTTCCTGCGTATCTCTGACTACCTTTTAAACCTGTTTTGTACATTTTTAGGTTGAGTGCATTTCAGGGCTGCATGGTCAAAACCAGGTCTCACGTTTGTTGTATTTACAACTAGGAAAGCGCCTTTGGCCAGGTTCCTGTGTAGTTAATCTCTCATGCTTGAAGTGCTAATTATTTCTTTATTGATACGAAATATGGTTCTCCAAACTTGAAAACATTTTTGATTTATCAGACACGAAACGTCTTTGGATTTCTATGCTCGAAGCATATTTGAGTCTATACATACTAAACACTCTTTCTGTGTGACCATGATAAATGTTTGGTTCTCAAAACTCTAATACATCATTGGCTCTATAAACAGAAGCACCTTTGTTCTCTTGATATGGAACCATTTCAGTTCTCAAAACATAAGCATCTTTGGTTCTCTAGACATGTCTGGTTCTATAAACGTAAAAAGATAACATCTGGCTGTCTAAACGTGATACCTTTACTGCTGAAGACACTTAGCTAAATTTTTATAATTTTCGTAACGGCGAAGAACGTAAAATTTGCTTGTTTACAAGTATCTCAGAGGAGTAGCTTTATCTGTTCTTGAGTCCCTCACTCCGTCCCGTAATGTTTGGCTGGATGTTGCGCTTAAAGACTATCAACCTATGGAGGGTCTTAGATAGCCACCACAACAACTTATTGACTAACCAGCAACTATAAATTAATCAAAACATGGCCAAGTCTAAAGGAAACTCTCAACTAAAAATGCAACAAGAAACTATATATAAAAATGTCAACACCAATTAGTTTCAAATAATAAAACAGAAAGAAAAGCAAATAAATTGGAATATTTAGAGGATAAAAGAATTCTTCAGCATTGTAGATAGATTTATTTATGTTTGTCAGACTTGCATTAACCTTATATCTAGTTCTTAGACGCTGATAAGCCTCCCAGAAGCTATTTTGGACACTCAGGTCTTAACGGATCCTCAACAGTGTCCTAGGCTCCAAATCCCAGCGAGCCCTCAGCTGTGATCATGGGAGAAGAAAACCTCTTAGGGATTTCCCAGCAGTGACTTCTAAAAGATCTCAACAGTGATACGGTGAGATCTTGCCAACGATGAATCAATAGTAACTTATGTTCCCTCTGACAGGTGCCTGTGGTGCCTGCGGTGGTGGTGGTGGTGGTGGCGGTGGTGCTGGTGCTCGGGGAAGATGCTGGCGGCGGCGGTATGACGCAACTGGCCATGGAGGTCGGCGGTGCTACCAAACGTGAGTTTTGCTTTCACATATACTCATCTTTCTCTCATATTTATACTGATTTCAGTCACACTCATCTTCATCACCTTGTGGGTATTCTTCTCTCATACTCTCCCTCATATTAATCTCCATTGCATCAACCCAACTCACGTTTCCACCCGTCACGCCTCACTTTTCAGAAGAGAAGGGGATACTATGGTGTTTTGTTACCCATCATCATTACGCGATATATTTTAACTTCCACCAGCGTTATGGTCATCTGTTCATCTATCTTCATTATCCATGATTTTCAAAAAGTTTTTCAACCCGTTCCTGCAGCTCTACTAGCCATTCCTACCCATGTCCATTATGAGCCCATTAAAACTTAAACTCCTTTTTCTTCAGTTCGTGGTGACGTGGCTGTCCTCGAACCCTTGAAAAGAAAACGGAGGACTCCTATTTTCAATCTCTTTAGGCGGAATCGATCCCGGGGCAAGGGGAAAGGTAAGGGTAGGCCAAGTACGTCCTATGGAGCCCCTCCTAGCACATCCTACGGACCACCACCAAAGGCTCCTAGCCCATCCTACGGACCACCACCAAAGGCTTCTAGCTCATCCTACGGACCACCACCAAAGGCTTCTAGTCCATCTTACGGACCACCACCAAAGGCTTCTAGCCCATCCTACGGACCACCACCAAAGGCTCTAAGTTCATCCTACGGTGCGCCCCCAGCTGCCCCAAGCACATCCTACGGAGCACCTCCTGCAGCTCCAAGCTCATCCTACGGAGCACCTGTAGCTCCAAGTCCATCCTACGGAGCACCTCCAAGTCAATCCTACGGAGCTCCTCCAAGTCAATCCTACGGAGCACCCTCTGCTGCCCCTAGCCAATCCTACGGAGCACCTCCAAGTCAATCCTACGGAGCACCCTCTCCTGCCCCTAGCCAATCCTACGGAGCTCCTCCAAGTCAATCCTACGGAGCACCCTCTCCTGCCCCTAGCCAATCCTACGGAGCACCCGCTCCTGCTCCAAGCCAATCCTATGGAGCACCGGCAAACCCACCAAGTAGTTCCTACGGTGCTCCTTGATTAATTAATCATTATTTCGTAGTATACAATATTATCACGATTTGTTGTAGTCACCCCCATATAGTTTAGAAATATTAGCGTATTTGTGAATTGTTTAAATGAGTCTCTCTCAACACAGATATTGTTGACAATTGTATAAATGCTCCAGGAGCTGTAACAGGCAGCTTGCTTAGCAGAAGAGAAAGATCTCTTGGTTCGAATATGGTTGGAATTTAAGATCACTGATGACAGAATGGAACTACGACTGAAGGATGCACTGGACAGAACGGAGCTTTGCTAGAAAGATATTGTGTGCAGCGTGGAACTATGACAGAAAGATAATCTGGGTAGACTGGAACTACAGATGAAGAATAATGAAACAGAAGGAAATAGATACTGAAGAAGAGTCGAAGGAAACGTCTGAGGCCCAAGTGATCAACTTTGAGTCTTCCAGAGAAGATACGGAGAATGTTAAACACATGGCAGCACTGCTGGATAACGTGGGAGTGTACGACAACGAGATGGGCGCACAGAGCTAAAAGCCTGGAAATTGTTTGAGCGTCCTAAAATAAGGGCGTACCTGAGTTCATTTGGCCGCCATATTTGATTGACAAGCATGCAGCTCCCGAGTACTTAATATACAGATAGCACACATAATAATACGTTTCAAGTAGCTTGGTGGACATGTTTATAACAAAAAAATCAAAAGTTTTATTAACGAGATAAATAAGGCCGTTCTTTCACAAGACGGAATAACATTTGTTTAGCTATGAACATATAAATGACATATTACAGAGGAAAAAGATATACAGTATATACAAATAGGACAAAATATATATTTTGTATTATTTAAGGTTTGTGTAATTATAAGTGGGTTTGGGAGGTAGCTGTGGATGTCTTTGAGTGAGGATTTTAGCAGTCTATATCTCATCTAAATACTGTAATTTTGTAAAAAAAAAATTCTAAAAACTTGTTTAGAAAAGTTGTTATATATATATATATATATATATATATATATATATATATATATATATATATATATATATATATAAAGGTTTCTTGGAAAAAGCCCATAATGCATGCAAAATATTTTCCACACTCCTGAGGCTTTACGCTAGGAATTCCAGTATGGGGCATGCATGACATCAATGAACTCATTGGCTAACTACATTAGTGTCTTGGGCGAGTGATAATTTAATACTTTTTAAATCAATGCTTTAACGTCTCAGCGTCTGTTTTGCTGGTATTATAGGAGTCTGTGGTTCACTTGTGATCAGTTTCGAACGTTTTCTTACTGCAACTGGCGAGTGTCTGGTCCGTCAGACTGTATCAGACGAAGCGATGCATCAGACTTTCATAATCATCACAACCCGGCTGGAGAATTTATGGAGAAACTTAGCCATTTATGGGAAGTGTGGATGGTTATGACTCCTAATTATGCCAGAAGAGATGATATAAATAGGTATTGTCAAGTTCAAGTATGTTTATTGAGACAAGAAAGAAATACATCTCAAAGGGATAGAGTAGCTTAGGCTATTTCTACGCCCCCCCCCCAGGTATTGCCATGGCAATAAACCGAAGCAGAAGCACTCCCAGACACACCAGTACTCAGACTCACAAATATGTTTTCATTTTGTTTATGTTGTTATAATATAGAGAACAATTAGAGCCCATCACTGATTTTATACGCACCAGCCATTTTCAAATTTAGCTGCTGATATCTAGTCTCCTTAATGGTGCGAGTTACATGTTCAAATGTTCCCTTGCTGTACACGTTCTCGTGTGAGAGTGGCGGCTTGGCTGTTCTTCTGGTGACTGACAAAGTTTCCATAAGGAACAGTTATATCTGAAACACATGTTGAGCCACTCTTAGAATCTTAGTGAGTAGTTTAGCTTTTCTTTGTTTGTGTTACAGATATGTTTTGTAGTATGTATTAAGTATTTTAAAATGCCCTGTATATGCAGGACACACACACACACACACACACACACACACACACACACACACACACACACACACACACACACACACACACACACACACACACACGTGTCAAGGAAAATAATTGAATACTACAAATGCATAAATTAAAACGCTTGTTTTTCTAACCATTCCATGTTTAATGAGACATACTGAAGAGTCCTGGAACCAAAAACCAGCAACATCTTCTGTTTTATAAGCTACGTTCAACTCATCAGTACTTATAATACACCTGAGGTGCACTTTGCGCACCTATCACTTGGGTGCACCTGGATACATATATATATATATATATATATATATATATATATATATATATATATATATATATGTGTGTGTGTGTGTGTGTGTACATACAAAAGAATGGGGGTGGTAGGAGAAGATAATATTAGTGTTCAGTGAGAAACCACAAGGTCTCCTCTGAATACTTTTTATTTTCTTCTCCGAGGCTATGGGTCCCCACATTGGCACCAGAGGTGGTACCCTCACAAATTTATATATATATATATATATATAGTCCCCATTGCCTCAGAGACACTTGGTGCCTGGGGTAAGTGCTGCTAGTTTTTTGAAGGAGTTGGGGTCCAAGCTAATTGAAAAAACTAGAGACCCTAGAGCTGCCAGTTTTCTCTTTCAGCGCCTTAGTGTCGTGATCCAGAGAGGAAATGCTCACTGCATCCATGGTTCCTGCCCACCATATGAGGAGCTGGAGGAGCTCTACAATTTGTGACAAGTAGCCTTGTACCCTGCATGTAACCAATGTTGTAACCTTGTTTGTGTAATGACATTTTCAAATAAAATTAGATATATATACACACATACCAAAAGAATAGGGGTGGTAGGAGAAGAAAATAACAAAGTGTTCAGTGAGGATCCACAAGGTCTTCTCTGAGTACTCTTTATCTTCTTCTCCGAAGCTATGGGTCCCTACACATGCACCAGAGGTGGTACCCCTCCTCTCTGTGTGTGTGTGTGTATATATATATATATATATATATATATGCGGAAAATCCACAGAGAAATATGAAATGAGGTGAACGTTTCGGCTTTGTTAAAGCCTTTGTCAACACCAGACTGACTTAGGAGAAGGGAGAAGGGGAGGATATATAGGCCGACACCTGACCAACCCATCCCTAGGGTTGGTCAGAGAATAAGGATGAAAGATTAAAGACAAATTTTCTTTAATCTTTCATCCTTATTCTCTGACCGCTTAATCCTCTTTGACCATTTTAAGCTAAGCTATACCTGATTTTGGTTAATTACACCTGACCAACCCTAGGGATGGGTTGGTCAGGTGTCGGCCTATATATCCTCCCCTTCTCCCTTCTCCTTAGTCAGTCTGGTGTTGACAAAGGCTTTAACAAAGCCGAAACGTTCACCTCATTTCATATTTCTCTGTGGATTTTCCGCATAAAATGATCAGTGTTTTGTGATCGTCAATTGCATATATATATATATATATATATATATATATATATATATATATATATATATATATATATATATATATATATATATATATATATATATATATATATATATATGTATTACCAGTCAGGTCTATGCCACCCGAATGCATTATCAATCATATCTACAAGAACACAGTATCATCAGATCTCTGCCAGTGTATGCTGAGGACTGAGTGACCCAGAGACATACCTGCTGACCTGATTGATTGTTGCCGTCGGAGGCGGCTAGATTATTGTGCACCCCATACTCATCCTGTGAGCGGTAGCGCAAAAAAGGATTTGAGAGGGCACATAGGTCTTTATCAGACCTCGACAGAGATTAATATATTAACAATTAAATCAGTCCTGCACACCTTATAATTATAATGTCAGCTAGCTACAGAGATCGTTCATTTCATTTGCTATGTATTTACAACTAAACATTATTGGTAGGCCCTTTAGCTAATACTTAGATATTTTAGCAACGGAGGTATTACAGGGTTATGGGAAAGCTGCTTTTTATTCTTGTTAATCTCCACACTACACCGTTTGTTCCTTAACCTCATGTCATTTATCTACTGGCAGCGTTTGCAACCTGTCCTCTTAAAAAGAACGTCGCTTTTGGCCGTTTGCCCGTATGGCCGAATTTGGACGTAATTTGAAAATGAAAAAAAATTAAAATAAATTTGGGATTTTTTTTTCAACAACAGTAAGTTAAGTGTCCTCTGATAGGTTAGGTGGGCAGGAAATTCTCATAAAGTTTCAAAACGTTAATTTAAAATGTCCTCTTATAACCTCTGCGCGTAAGCCGGACGACTCAAATAGAAAACGGAACAGTACGTCACTTTTGCGAGTCGATTTCATTTCAAATTACGTCCAAAAACATGGATACAGTGCAAGGATTTCAGAAATGTTATCCTTAGTAATAAAATGATTTGCCCTGCCTTTCATGTCAACGTTTTACGGCTCTTTCCCCAGAATATCTTTTCCAGCACTATATTTTAATTTAGTGGAGTTAGATTTGCTGAAGTTTATTTTCCTCTTATAAGTAAAGAGGTTACAAAAATTGCAGCCCGGAAAGTAGCCGGGATGCGGTTTAAATATAATGGGCGTAGCACGACAGGGGCTCACATTTCGATCATTGACCCTGCGAATCCCCAAGATAAGGACTACACATAATTATTGACACTAACGAACATCCCCTTAAAACTTTATTACAAAATTTTCCATTTATATGAAATGTTTATGTAATTACTTTTAATATATATAAAAAAAATTTGATTTTTTTCAAGAATTATTCTTCCAAATTATTTTCAATATTAATAGTAAATCTGAAACAGATTATTTATAAATCAAGCATTATTTAAAAATTGCTAAACGAAAGTTAAAGTTGTCATTCAAAAAAAACGAGTCCAAGTGTTAGAGGGGTAGCTAATGTAAAAATAATCGAGGTTCATTTACTATTTCCTCGTGAATCATATGAAATAACAAACGTTTCGCTCATTGCAGTATGCTAACATTTATTAACAAACAAATATATATACATAATAATAGAGGCAAAACAAATTAATATGCGAAAGCAAATATGTCCATACTTTGGCGTAGTGATGGCTTATAAAGGCCAACGAGTCTAAATAAATATTAATATCCCACTAAAATTTTACTAACCAACCGGCAAGTCAACTTTAGTTTTCAACATAGTCCGGGCCTAAGTAAACACTCACTCACCGGGCTATATACACCAAGATGTATAACTGGCTTCTTTTTAGAACATATACATATTGATGGTCCTGAACTGTTTTCAGGACTAAAGTATACTAGCTGGTTATAGTCAGTAAGTAATTATGACGGGGTTTAATGACCTCCTAGAGGCTGATAAGCCTTACCCCCAGCACCAAGCCAAACTGTTATTGTGTATATAATAAACATGAGGGAACATGCAGTGACGCAGAGTGCTTAACTCGTTTTCAATTAATTTGCGAAAGACTATTCTCAATAAACTTACTTAAACCTGCTAGCAGAATAAATATAATTCCTGGTAACCACTAATACAACACCAGTGTCTATAAATCTTTAACTCTGTGAATTTTCAAATTTAAGAATTCAGTTTCTATTGTAATTGATGAATATATATATAAACCCGTAAACTTTTTGTTACATCGCCTTTTCGGTGTCAATATTCAACGAAATACATTAAGAAGAGTGAAGAATTTTCAGTAAATTAGTGAGGACTATACATTCACCTAGCAACGGAAAGGTGTCGCCAATGATGAAACCTCAATAAACTAAAATATGATTTGTTTCTGCTAAATGTTAAGCAGTTTGAGGCAAGAATAACAAATATTAAAGTGTCTCCTTAAAACGTTTTATTATAGAAAATTGAAATTAGTATTTAAAGGGGTAACTTCTTCAGGTAATTTATAGCTAAGAGGCTCCTTTTTGAACTAATGTTTTACCTGAATTTATCCAAAGACCACTAACACTAGTGGCCTCGACGAGGACAGGAAGCCGGCGGCTTGTCGAAGGCCCTCCTAAAGTTTTCCGTTGCCAGGGCCAACAACTGTTTTAAGCTTATTCAGATCCCCTACTGAATGTTGTACATCAGGTAAGAAGTACATACATATAAAAAACATTCATTTTTGTATTTTTCATCCATTCATCCACAAAAAACATCCATTATAAAAGAATTATTAATACACAGAGCAAGAGTTTCAGTCTCATTTGTATGGCTATATTTGTACCTCACAAAGGTGTTGTCCAGCATGATGACACAGACAAGGCAGCTAAACCTGCATATATGCAACCCGTTCTCGCAAATTCGTAAAGTCAATATTGACTTATTAACTACGTGCATAGGTGATATACTAAACATAATAGATACCCTTAAAAAGATTCATAGAAAACACCGACCTTACCTTACCTTGTTAGTATCTTAAGATAAGCATCTTATTGCTTCGTAATTACAATTATTACTTAACCTATACCTATTATAGGTTAGGTAATAATTGTAATTACGAAGCAATAAGATGCTTATCTTAACATACTAAGTAGGTTAGGTAAGGTCGGTGTTTTCTATGAATCTTTTTAAGGGTATCTATTATGTTAAGTATGTCACCTATGCACATAATTAATAAGTCAATATTGACTTTACGAATTTGCGAGAACGGGTTGATATATGATAAGCCTGAATGTGATAAGTCATAAGCCTGAAATTGAGTTGGATATGGGCATTCCAATCTCTCGCAGAATTTCAGGGATGACAGAAGAGCAGTCACTGACACTCGAAGGCGAGAAAGCACGAGTATAAAGAGTTATGATATGTTTAGAACCGAGAACTCTATGTTCGGGCAGTACAAACCATCCACTAGTGTGATATTGTAAAATATATATATATTATATATATATAAGACGATCATTGGTGCGGTGGTCACGGTACTGTGTACGTTTAGGGGTGATCCTGGACGGCATGGGTTCGAGTCCTGGACGGGTCAAAGAGTTCTTAGTGATATATGGCTTGCGCGTTCATGCAGCTTTCTCATATAAATATATATATATATATATATATATATATATATATATATATATATATATATATATATATATATATATATATACAGGGGTACCACCTCTGGTGCAATTGCAGGGACCCACATCCTCGAAGAAGAAAACAAAGAGCATTCGGAGAAGATCTTGTGGATTCTCACTGAATACTTTATTCTTTTCTTCTACCCTACCACGACCGGGGGAGCCGGTCGGCCGAGCGGACAGCACGCTGGATTTGTGATCCTGTGGTCCTGGGTTCGATCCCAGGCGCCGGCGAGAAATAATGGGCAGAATTTCTTTCACCCTATGCCCCTGTTACCTAGCAGTAAAATAGGTACCTGGGAGTTAGTCAGCTGTCACGGGCTGCTTCCTGGGGGTGGAGGCCTGGTCGAGGACCGGGCCGCAGGGACACTAAAGCCCCGAAATCATCTCAAGATAACCCCTATTATTTTTTTGTATGTTTTGTTATATTTTATATATATCTGCTACAACCCTCTTATCAATTATTTCAGACCAAATGGTATGAGGTAATTTGAGCTATGTATCTACTTCATACACTCACGAATATTGGAAGATATTCTTGTGGTCTTCCCAGATTTTGTTAGTGCGGCCTCGACGGGGACAGGAAGCCGGCGGCTTGTCAAAGGTCCCTACATTTTATGTTTTTTCCTGCTCCATTTTTTCCAGTTGACTTATGGATCTGAGGTAAACGCAAACAATAACACGTTTATACAAATGACACTACGATTTGTGGTAGAGTAGCGCGTGACATTAATGTTGAGGCTTTACAAAGAGACCTACGTGAGCGCTACAAGTGCTCGGAAGACTGGCAAATGCTTATTAATAGCGAAGAAGTGCAAGACCGTGCATGTGGGGCATATCAATACACGTCACAATGATCAAATCAACAACATTGCCATGGAGAAAATTAATAAAAAAGAGAACCTTGGAGTCAGAATCCACCAATGTTCGAAAAATTAAATCATTATATAAGTTCGCATTGTTAAGCGAATGTTGTATGTAATTTTCAGTTTATACTTTAAAATAGAGAACACGATGACAAACCATAGCAGCCAGGGTTCAGAGGAAATGGGGCAAAGAATGGATGCGGAGGATGCCTTAGCGTGTAATATATGACCTGTAGCGTCTGTACAATCTGGGGGAAAGTCTCTTTTATTTTACAACATTGACAACCATCCGAGACACGATGATTGTCGGAGCAAGGGAAACTGTCTCACGCGACATTCCTCCCACCGCTGAGAGCAGCCACTGACTTCCTGTACGTCAGCAGTAAGTGGCCCTGCCTAGCTACCTACTACTTTTATTTATTTATTTATGCAAGAGTTTTAACATTCTAGTAAAGCCACTAGCACACAGCGTTTCGGCCAGGTCCTTAATCATAATTTTTTCCCTGGAATATGACCCGCCAAATCGTTATACAACTAAGCACTTATTCACTGCTGGGTGAACAGAGGCGTACCGTTAAGGATTGGCGCCCAGTCAACTGATTCACAAGTTCTTAATATATGTTTTGCGCGTCCTTGAAAAATGTGCTGTGCTTTCTCACGAGAAGTTTGTGAAGCATCAGCATAATGAGGATATATATATAGTCTAAGGATTTGTGATATGTAGGATTCAAACTCATACATCACTGCAATGATGGTATACGTGTCCATTGGAACACTGTGCAACTGTAGTACGGGTCAATGGCTTAGGGTTTATATACCAAGATACCAGGTATACATCTTGGATTGTGTAAGTGTTGGACTTATCAACCTTACAAAATATTGCCGGAACAACCGTGGACATCTTCAAGAGGAAACTAGATTTATTCCTCCAAGGAGTGCCGGACCAACCGGGCTGTGGTGGGTATGTGGGCCTGCGCTGGGCCGCTCCAAGCAACAGCCTAGTGGACCAAACTCTCACAAGTCAAGCCTGGCCTCGGGCCGGGCTTGGGGAGTAGAAGAACTCCCAGAACCCCATCAACCAGGTAAAGGTTACCGACTTACCTAGACCATCACAGTAATATACCGACCAACCAGCAAAAAGATATATATTCGTTTTCATTATAAATAAAGCCTAGCTCAATATATTTAAAAAGTTGGCAACACACTTCACGCTTAAACGATACAATAATCACTGTATAGAGATTATAGTGTCTTTTAACCATAGCAGTACAATCATTTCTATAGAGCATCTGAAGCCCTACCGGGTGCAGTGGTGTCCACGCTAGATTGGTTTCGTCTGAAAGTAATCACCAAACCAACACACTTCCCACACCAATACTTTCTAATACAAGACAAGAGAAATGCACCATTTGCACAGAAATAAACGAATATTATTTTCCGTCACTGAAACCAGATAGTCTTAAAATGGCAGCAACATGGAGGTTCTCAGTAGCTTAAGGCTTATAACAAAAGGCTTCTGTGTCAAGGTTATATACACCGAGAAGTATACTCCTTTTCTCGGTGTATATGTTCAGTTTACTTTGGTTCTGCACTATATCCAGGTCGAAAATTTTCGTGCTGAATGGTGAGTAAGCACTTGTCGTCGCCTCATGACCTACTATATTTAAGCCCAATGCCAAATCAATTAACATTATGTCGTTTTATGTTATGCATCTATATTGA